CTCGTCTCTACCCCGTCTCGTCTTTTTCCACCAGACATACCACTGATCCATACAGCCGAAAAGTTCCAGTTTTGTCCACAGAACAGATTCCCAAAACTTCTGGCTTATTTATATGATTTTGTTCGAATTGGAGCAAATTGTTCAAATTACTAATTTTAAAAGTACAGTAACATATTTCAGAATGACATTTTAGAATTTCAGAAATCATTCTGAACTCAAGTGCCATCTCACTAAATGAAAAGAATTTTTGGGGAAAATGAGACTTTTATATTCTGAGTGAGAACATGCAAATTCCACATTTCAAAAATAAAGCCCCAATCATCAGTCGGTTTTACACCTTTTATCACCGTCATTTTTGAGAAGATTACGACTCAAATCCAACCCCCTCAAAATCATCTTTCATGCAAGACTTTTCAAAAGCTCTATTTGAGAGGACCATTTCCATGACAACAGGACTGGATTAGGTTTAAAAAAATACTTGCACCAATTGCAATTGTGAAGACCCTTGATTCTCAAAGGCACTTGATTTCTGAGGGGAGTGAACAGAGTGGCTGAAAAAGAAACACAAAGGAAAACCAGAGCACAGCAATTTCGGGATAAAATTTGAGCACTGTATTTACATGTCTTTTCCATTTAGACAATATATAACAAGACAAGTCCCAAAAGCTTTTGTCATACAGAAGTAGGCCTACTCTTTTTTTTTTTATTGGTAGAGGTGTGCAGATTTTCCATTTTCCTTTTGGTTCTGCCTTCTCACCTCCATTCTCTCACAACATAATCAAGCAGCATGCAATGGACTCATGAATAGGATAATGAGGGGAACCCCTTTAGCTTCCTAGCTGTATGGCAGTCCTGTTAGCGCTTCCTTTCACTCTATATAGAGCCATTCAAAGCAGCAAGGTTACAATCTGATATATTTTAATGCAGTATTCCATATGTGTTCAGAAAAAAACAGGCCCCACAACTACATAACAGATAGTTAAAGCAAAATGTAATGCACTTTTGTCTCTTAATATCTAATTTTCTCACAGAAATAATTGATGAAGTAAAAAGGGCTGCACATAAGCACACTGCACCTTTTAGAATCCAAAGTATATATATATGTTTTATTTTTTTATTTATATAAGATATCAAAAAATGCCAAAAGTAGTGTAGTGTAAATCCACCCCAGATATCTGTACCCAAATGACATATTTGGCAAGGCCATGGCCTTGTCAGAGAGAGGCTCAATCTGGAGCTGATGCAATCACCCAGAAGGCCATCCAGTAGGCTAGAAAATGAGGTCAAAGAACAGTAAATCTTATACTGAAGGGTTAAGTTCATGACTGAGTGGGGAAATGGGACTAGGAAAGTGCATGATGACCCCATCATGGTTTCACAGCTGTACCAGTAGTGATATCATCTCTGATGACGTACATTAAATTCTGCTCTATATGTTTAACAAACATACATTGCATGCATTTTTATGTACCAGAGAACAAACAGCTCAGCAAAAAATGGAAACACAAAAAAGGCAAATAGCGAGACTTTCACGAGTCATGTGAATGAACGCCAAAAAATGTTGAAGATAAACAGTTGAAGGTAAATACAAGTGTGACGCATAAATATGGATTAGCTACATTAGTTAGTAAATGTCATTGTCACATTGGTTCCACAATGAGGCAAGTATTAGAGGATCTGTTAGCAGCAGTCTTATTAAACTGAATAAAACAAAACAAAACACCCTGGCACAGGAGAACTACTCAACAAACCAGCCTTTAACATTGAAGACACAAATAACTGACACAGGCCAAACAACGAGGCTAAACGAGACACAGGTGAACACAATGGGTTGCTATGGAAACAAATGAAGAGCGGGAACATTGGGAACAAAGGGAAAAAATGTGAAACAAACTAAGGGTACGCTTAAACAAAAATGATGAAAACTGAAACGTTTTTCCTTTGCATTTTTGAAAGGTTTTGTGTACAGACAACAATGTTGTCAAAATGATCCCTGTTCACGGATCCACAGAAATGACTAAAAATGCTGTATCATGCATGCCGGGCCAATAGTTGGCGATGTCACTTTGTACACTACAAAGAAACACATGCCAACAGATTGAACACGTACTGTAATACTCATGTGTTTTCACAAATTCGCATTTTGGTGGTTTACATCGAGACAACAACGGTATCGTATATTAATTTATAAACATAATTATGCATAAAGAAGCACGATTTGCACATTATTCTCCCTAGACATTAATCAAATTCATTATAACAAACAGGTTAGCTTTCTTTAAAGAATTTTTTACTTGTAACTTTTAACTTTTTGTAATGTAACTTTTGAGCATGACGTTTTAATCCCCTGTTCCATAATAATAATGGTTTTGCAGAAGAAATTAACACTGGAAATAACACAAATATCATGGATGAAGCTTTTATTTTAATGTGTTGTAAACAGGTTCAGACTTTGCAGTCATCAGGTTGAGGTGAGTATTGTTTGAATTCTCTGGAAACACTGTTGGGTCTAGAGGATGTTCTTCTGAATAAGTGAGATATGTGCTTTCAAAATTGCATTGGTTAAAGCCATGGGAACCTGAGTTCGGCTCTGGTGGGATTTATAGAGAGGCGTCTGGAATGCTTAGTGAGATGTTAAATTGTTTCTGGTAATTGCTCACATGTTACAGTGGCAAAGTAAGTCCCAGAATGCAAAACATCTCAACAAACTGTTTAAATGGCTTGCGTTCCCATTTCCTTCTTAACTTGTAGTCACTCTGTTTTGAGATGAAATGTCCCCAAGCATTCCAAAGCTTGGATTTCCGTTTTGCCAATTTCGGCAACAACGTCACTACTGGGATTGAGGCCTCTGCCTGCTTTCCCTTATCTCCAATGAACAGATGTGGGAGTTTCACGCTGATTCCTCCCTATAACGAAGAGGTGATGTGTCTTCATGTGTCAGTACTGATTTCACAACACAGCCTTCAGCTAAAGCCTCTTAAGGCTTCAGTAAGTGAGTCTGCATCCATCCCTGTGCAAATCACTGATTTTATTCATGCAGGAAACTGAACAGCACAGATTAGATTTCATAATTTACCTTCATACTTGCCCCATTACATGGAAGTTGTGAAACTGCACCTGAGGAGTGGCGATGAGAATTTTAAAAGTGTCCGTAAATTTAAATTTAAAATTTAAATGTAATAAAATAAGGGAATAAAAACTATTATTATATTATATTATATTATATTATATTATATTATTTTATATTATATTTTATATTATATTATATACCTAGGCGCATGGTATGAGTTTAGTTCTTGATATGAATGAACCGATTCACTTGAGAACCGCTAGGACCGATTCAATCACACCATTTTGAATCATTAATTTACAAGATCCGAATCATCCGACTCAAAAGAGCTATTTGGGGATTCAAGCTTCAGCGACAAAGCCAACAGTAAAAATGGATTATGTCGTGTCGTTCGTCGTTTAGTTATTTCGCGGACTAAAACGAGTGGAGGGTAAATATAAAGTACCTGTAGACAATTTAATCAGTCTTCGAATCAGAATAATAACGAGGCCTTTATTCTGGAGCCTCCAGTAACGTTAACTAAGTTTGGAAGTTCGCTAGCGCGGGATTTACGTTAACTGTAGGTCACATTAGTGAGGACAGGTAAATATTTGCAACATACAGCCTTTGAAAATGAATAATTATACATATTTAAATTAAAAAGTTATTTGTTACTTTACGTCACAGTGCTTAACAAACGAAGCCCTGTATTGAAACGAAGCCGCCCGACCGTATCACTGAATCTTGCCAGTAACGTTACTTGTAGTGAACTGTACATGAATACTGAAGTAACACCTGCTTTGCTCTTTCGTCAGCTTTCTCATCAGCACTATCTGCTGCTCATCTCAGGGCAGTGAGTCTGTGGAGCTGTTTTTAGAGCAGACAAAGTGCCTTTTGTCGCCTGTGTCGTGCTTAAGCGGCGGGAAAGGCCCGAGGCTCAGCATTAGTGCGCTCAAAGAACTCTCTTGTCAAGTGGGATAGCATTGATGAGTCCTTAGATTGCAGAGAGCTGCTGCCTTATTTAACCAATTTGCCCCATCTGCCCTGCTATGGTTAACAATATCACTCTTTGTGTTTTACCTCTTTTGAAAAAGAACTTATAAGGAGTCTCTTTTTTCACAGTCTTTCTTCTTTTCTCAGAAGAACATTTTTGTTCATATTGAATGTGATTAATTCTAATGTTCCCTCTTAAGTTATTGCGGTGACATTACGGTACATTTTGTTCTGTTGAAGTATTCATTTTGTGTTCCAGCATGAAATGTAACTTTGTATTAGAGGTATCATTCACTTTTTTCCCACATTGAGAAATTAAAGGGATAGTTCACAAAAAAATGAATATTTTGTCAACATTTCCTCACCCTAATATGTTCCAAACCTGTATGAGTTTCTTTCTTCTGTTGAGCAAAAAATAAAATATTTTGAAGAATGTTAAACGGTTGACGCTAGCCATTGACTTCCATAGTAGGAAAAAATATATACGGAAGTCAATGGCTACTGTCAACTGTCTGGTTATATACATTCTTCAAAATATATTATTTTGTGTTCAACGGAAGAAAGAAACTCATACAGGTTTGGAACAACATGAGACTGAGAGTGAGCAAATGATGACAAAATTTAGATTTTTGGATGAAGTATCCCTTTAATGAAGGATTTCCTAACACTTAATTGATTCAATTTTTAGATCTCATGTGTTACTTGGTTTTGATGAACAAAGTTAGTCTGCTCTTATTTAGGTTTCTACCTATGCATGTGGGGATAGATTGATCACCAAAAAAAAAAAGCAAAACACCCACATACACTGCTCATCACTGACAATTGACCTGGAAAACTTGTAAATTAGGCAATCAGTGAATGAATATTAATGCCTATTGTAATTTTTTTGTGGTATTTCCAGATTTGATTTCAGTTCAGTATAATTACATCCATATTCATGTTCTTATGTAGGAGAACCATGAGTGCCAGAAACAGATCCTGCTCTTCCTCCATCCTCCAGGCATGCAGTTCATCATCCTTTACTAGACAGCCTTCTCGTGTGTTGATCATAGATGCATCGCCGCCCTGGTGGTCAGAGACATGCACTGTTCTGTGTCAGGCCCTGGAAGATTTCTTTTTTCTGGCCAGTAGTCTGGCAGGACCTGTTCGTGTGCCACTGCTTAGCGTGTTTGCCATCAGTGTACAGCTGGAGTGCCTTCTACCCTTTGTGGTGAGGATGAGTATGTGTGTATTTGTATCCATGTTTGACTAGGTGAGATGCAGTAGGTACTATGTGTTTAATAGACAAATAAAAGTATCTGTCTTCTAATGTCTTCCAACCTTTCATTCATTCATCTCATTCTCTTCACCAGCAAGTTAAGGGAAATCTGACACGTTTGCTGTCCTGTGTAGAGGAGCTGCGTTCTCTGCCTCAGGAGGGCTGTGTTCGGCAACGGGGGGCACTCCTTAAACAGGCAGTGCTGGACAGCCTGCAGCAGTTTAAACAATACATGTGCCATACAGCTCATGGGGACATCAATAGCAACTGTGTGGAGGTGAGAACTTCCACTGCTAAAACTTAAATTGCTTTCAATTGTGTATCTGTAAGTAAAGCAAAACATTTAATTTCTTATTAAATATGGGGGAATCTCATGAAGAGGTCAATTTGGTCACATTTAACCCAAAAATCAGTAGATGTGGCGGCTGGGGGACATATTTCATAGGGCCCTGTGTATTACAGTAATGAAAATCATTAAAAAGTTAAAATACCTAATCCATGACTGACACTAATGAAAATTTGGGGGTGAAATGTGCTCAGTTGTCCTAAAAATAATGTCACAATAATGGGTTCTTTTGATTTTCACCCATAAATGCCTTAATCTCCTATACAGTAATCAGTCTTGCTGCCCTGGTTACTTATCCTTCAAATCAACATTCACTGCCCTTCGATCTATGCATCTGCTTCCTGGCTTCATTTTAGAGTAATTCACCCCGCTGCTTTGTTTAAACCTCACATAACAAGTAAAGAAATGGTCTCGTCTGTATTGAACCTCTTCAAAGCACAGGCATTCACATTCAGATTTCCTACCAATGAATCCAAAGCTCATTTACCCTCTACTATTAGCCTTGAATGAAGATGTTGGCGCACTGACACAGACCACATGGCCCTCAGCAGCCACTCTCCTCTCAGCAGGCTCCATTAAAACCCAGCACTAATGCCCCACCACAGGAAGCACAGCAGAGGACAAGTGCATTTAATCAGATTATACAGAATATTTTTTTGTGCCCTAAATGGGATTATATGGTGTATATGGATTTGGTCTCACTTTGCTGTGACACAACAGAGCTGTTTATAATTATGCCAGAGATGTCTATCATAGGAAGAGAGAAATGACAGTAGCTTTGATGTATGCGATTGTAGCACTCTCTTCGCGACGCTCTCTGTTCAAATATGCAACAGATCATGTAGCAATGATTTGTACAAGTTATTTATGTGGCACAGGGCACAGCTTTGATGACTGATTTATTTGTATCCTTGAATATGTTCTATGGTCTCATATTCTACACACAATTAAACCTCAGAGAAGATGTTTTTGTGCTGTGTAGTTTGTGAGTTATTTCCCTCACATTCTGAGTTGGAATTTATATCAACAAGAGAGACAGCTAATGACCACAATCAGCTTTCATCCGTACAATCATAAAAACAGGGGCATTGGCTTCGTAGCCTTTTGGGTACACTGTGTGAGTATTGTTTGGAAATGTCAGCAGAAATTTGGCATGACTTGCGATTTACAGAGAAAGAAATGTAGCATATTTTCCTCAAAATTGCTTTCTTTTGGCTATTGAAATCTTGAATCCATTTACCAAAAATTGGGTTGATAAAGTGAATTATTACAAACAGACATGCCTGCTTAGCTGAGTTTTGACTTATCAACTAGATTCTAACTGAAGGATTTACATTTTTCTAGGTGACTGTATTAACCTGTCAGTCAGGACAGATAGTCCTCAAACAGCTGGAGCAGGGTCTGAAAAACTCTGATCTGATGAGTCTGCGCAGGCTTCTGGTGGTCCACATCACATTACAGCAGAGTCTCTCAGACAGATCTCTGGCCTGTAGCTTTGAGACACCATCTTCAGAAGATGACCAGGAAGGTAGGAGGACATATTTAGTCATAACATATTCTTAGTCAGTGAGAAAATGGATGAGCATTGGCTTTTATACTCATCAAATATGGTCATTGTGTTCTACAACATCTGCCAACCATTGGATTAACGAAGAGGTCAACAATCAAACAGACATATTTAATACTTTCAGTATTGAGAAAAAAAACCGGCTACATAAAACAACAAATCTCAATTCAAAAGGGGTTTTGGGTGATGCTTTGTACTGTGTGCACGTTTCTGCCAAATCTCTGAGCCCTCTCTTGTTTTCTGCATAATTACTTTAATTAAGGTTTTGCAGTTGAAAGTCTCAGGATTTCATACCACAGACTGTGTAAAATGAGATTCCCAGGGTGAGAGAGCAAACCAGACATCAATTCAAAAAACAGTGCCAAACATTCAAATCTCTGTGTGATCTGATAGGTAGTAATTTAGAAATCAAGGGAGGGCAGCAGGGGAAGATGATTCAAATATAGGCAAGTTTATGTCTGCACATTTATAAACTACATGAAATTATATCTTTGCTTAAAATTAAGGAATCTCTCTTTCTCCTCTTCTTTAAAGTAAATCGACTAGTAAGTGAGTTGCCTATACGACTTGTTGACCAGTTGGTTTTAAAGAACGATTGTGTCCTTATCTGCAATCTCATTTACATTTAGTTTTTCCAAATATCTTTGCTTTATAATGTATTGGTTTCATTTAATGACTTCTAAAATCTGGGTGGCACATACTTAACACAATAATTTATAGACTGTCATTATAGTGAGGCATAGTGAGGAATGTAAGATTGTTCATTTAAATTCTAGTTGGTGTGTGGCAGCTTTGGAATTCAGAAGGCCTGTTTAGTTTAAATATATCAGTTTTCCTCTTCTCTAAGCTGAATACTTAAGTGCCTTGAGTGTGTTGAAAGAGTGGAGTGCTCTATTTCTTTAAAAGAGTAAATCTAGAGCAAACCTATTTAGGTCTTTTCTTTAGTTTCAAATTTTCTCACTTATATTTTAGACGCAATATTGACTGTTTTTGTTCCATTTCAAAGCGAAAATAGTTCCAAACAAAGATCACCACAGATTCAGAACCAGCGCATCTCACAGCAACACTCAGCCGTATTTCATTACTGCATGATTGAGTGTTTTTTGAACAAATTGGTTGAGTCAAAGATTCAATGACCCATTTATAAACAACAACTTCATTCTTGAATGAATCAGCCGTTTGGATGAATGACTCGCTCATTAAGACAGTCACTTGCCACCAACTACTGACGGTTTAGTTTCATGTTTAAACATTTTTTTTTTTTCCTGACTTGTTTGGTATTTTCAAAAATTATTTGAAACAATCTCATAACATCATTTAATCCGTTTTAAAGTCCCCATGAATTCAAAATTGACCATACTTACTTTGTTTGCCTAAATTGATCGTTTTGTGGTGAACAATTCATCCATGCAAGTCAATCCACACAAATTTTTTTTTGATCTTTAATCAAAATCTGAAATTTCCCCTCCCCTCTGCGTTGGAGGACCTTGCCTGATGACGTAGGTTTCACGGTTTGGGTGTCTGCTTAACATCCGTAACCACGCCCCTCTAACTGACAGTAGACAGGCTGAATAAAAACACCTACTTTTCTAGATCCAATCAGGTGCTAGTTGGGAAAAAAGCCACGCCCACCATTTTGCCTCATTTAGTATTCCGTTTCTCTCGGAAATAAGTCACAACACTGGAGAAAAGTCGTTTGTAACTTCCGGTTCACGGGGACTTTAAATTTTTCAGTGTAAATGATTTAATTTGATTGGTAACAGCCCTATAGTGTATGTTTCTAATTTAATTAATTGAAAATTCAAATTTAAGCATTTGAAAGATGAAGCGTCAATTTAACAAGGTTAAGGGGAATGCCCTCAGGGTAAATATCACAAATATGAAGATTTTAATATGTGAAAGCTGATAAAACACTGATGAGAAAATTGCTTCAGAGTGAATTATATTTACACCACAAAAAAAAAGAGAACATTTCTGGAAAGCAACTTTTTTTACTGGGACAAGTGAATGACCAATTTACTTGTCCAAAGGACAAGCACATGACAAGGCTTAATGTCGATCCCTGTATAAACATTGTTTGCACAGTATATTCTTTTTTTAGTATATTATTCTGGTGCTCCTCATTTAGGAATCACACTTGTGGTCTTCGCGTTGAAAAGTGACTGGACACCTGAAAACGAAATGTATTTTGAGAGAATTTGATGGGACTAATTAATATTTATGCATTAATTATGGTCCATTTTTCCCATTGAAATAATTAAACAATTCTAGTTTTTTTTTATTGTTTTTCAATTAATGCAGTATTTCAGATTAATTGAAATCTAATTTTTGAAGGCAGATTACCGCCATCTGGCGAGAAAAAAAAAGATAAACATGTAATTCTATGGTGTAACCACTAGATGCCTGTATACTAGAGATGCGCGGTTGGTGGTTACAGCCGCGGACTCCGCGGATAAACCGCGGATAACGGGACGAATTTTTTTTTTTATTATTAAATTCGGGCGGGTGGCGGGCGGTTGAACCAATCAAATGAAAAATATACATTGTTATATATTGTTATCTGACTATACATCCAAAAAAATAAAAATAAATCGAGCACACTTTGAAATAGTCTAATTTTCATCAGCTTGAGTCTATGCAGAGACTGCTTGTTGTTATCAGAGATGGCAACGCCGGCAAGGGAGGTACGTGACAAACTCAAAAAAGGAGAATTAAAAACAAAGGAAATAGAAGGTCAGAAAAGTGTTGCCTGGAATAAGTTGTGCGCTCTCTTGATATGCGCCCGTTCGATATTGTTTCTGGTAAAGGATTCCCCCAAGTGGCCCAGACGTTGATTGACATTGGAGCTAAGTTCAGTGCTGTTGACGAGGGACGAGCCTGTTCTGAAGACTACCGTTAATTTTGAATGCACGGGAAGAGAGCGGAGAGCGCGTCTTTTTCAGGCACAGTGCAATTCATTTTATACCATCAACAGGCCTAACAATCATATAATAAACTATAGAGCCTCGATATTAAAGAAACGCCGAAGTCACTCCTAGGCTTTTTCGTTGGTGCGCCATCAGCTATGCCTACAAAAGACAGATGAAATCTAATATTAATAATTGATCCATGTCGGTATACACAGCCTAATATTTTATAATGAAAAATAGCCTACACAATCAAGATAGACTATTTACTTTTTAGCCTATTTATTAAATCCAGGAAACTGGTTAATGAAACATGGATTAAAATGAAGATACAATTAATACAAAACGAAATTCGCTTTAAAGAAAGGCTTTGTGCTTTTTTGAGGCCTCTGTGAAAGTTTGAAAGTCTTTTAGTGCCGCTTTCTGAGTGTTCGCGTCCGTAATGGAGAACTGTCACGTAACATTGTTGGCGCCCCATACAATAGCAGCATGTTGAAATTATGTGCCAAAATGCGTTTTCTATTAGGCTACAATAAAAATATTGTACAGTACCCTATCAGATAAGGTCAGGTTTGCCGAAGTGCATTTAATTTAGGCTATTTATTTATTTTTGTCCCTGCGCGCCGATCGGAGAGGAGTTCACTGCTGATATTCTGAGAGCTTTCTAGTCTCGTGGCTGTCATCAGCAGCGCCTTGTATCGCCCAATCAGCGGATGGCGGGCGGGTGCGGTTTTGAAAACTGGTCAAAAACGTTGGTGCGGATGGATGGCGGACGGATGATGAGTTTTGTGATGCTGTTGCAGATGAAATAATAGCCCATCCGCGCATCTCTACTGTATACTACCTTTAGTCAAGGTTTATTTAAAGTGCCACTCAACCCCTGGTCAGAGCCTAACTCCACCCACTGGCAATCTTTGAAAAACGCAGGAAAAGTGGGCAGAGCCCAGAGGGGACGAACTGAGGGCGGGGCTGAGTGGGGGGCGTGCACCTGAGACCCGCAGTGACTCGCAGTGACTGATTGATTGACAGTTAGAGGACTTTTCTCCCCCACCTTCACCTGAAGTGGAGGAGGGTGAATTGTCTGAGGACACAGGGCCAGAGCCTTATCAATTCGAGCCGCTGGCTCAAACTGCGGTCTTAACTCCCGATGCCGACGATGCTAGCAAAGGGCGTGGTGAGCTCGTGCCAGGGGCATGGGTAGTGAGCCGTTGGCAGAGCCTGCATGCGTCACGCAGGGAAACAACTTCAAATAGGAAAATTCAACTGCAGTAGCCACCGTTTAACTCGAAGAGGGCAGCACTCAGAGGTTTTTACACCATATATTGTAGAATTAAAACACTTTATACCCAAATGACAAAACATTTACTCAAATCAATGAACAGCAGTAATAAAGCCCCAGTCTTACAGACCATTAACTAAAAAAAGTTATTTTAGGGTTTAGTGACCCTTTAAAAAATTTGTTATTTTGTGTACAAGTTTTTACATTATAATTACTAGTCAAACCTAAGTCAAACCTGAATACAGAGAAAACATTTTGTTACACTTACTTAACATTAAAATTAAAAAAAAATGTAACCAAAATGAAAAGGAATGCTTTATCACAGCTTAATCCATCTGAATCTCATCTAATTTTAAGCTCTTACTTTAGCCTTCTGACTAGTTTTTCCTGTATGGTAATAGCCCTACCAGTTCATTTGTGTGAGTATAATTGTGAATGTGTGTGTGAGTGGGTGTGTCTGTTTTGCACTCTTGAGAGTTTCACCTCTTCACCCCTGTGCCCTTTTTTTCTGCATCGTGGATACATCCTGCATTTGTAGATTGTACACACAAAAATTTTCTGTTTTTATATTTTTTGCCCATTTCCCATTCATTTCCTATGGCGGTAAGTTTTTTTTTAGACCAGGGCATGATTTGAAAAGGCTATTAGACAATTTATTTTGTGTTCATATACCAAGTGCCATAAAAGTGTCCCATTAAAAACTGCTCCTAAATCGATGCATACAAATTTATCCTAAAGCGCAGGGGTCGGCAACCTTTTTGTCGTGACATTTTTAA